GTGCCTCTTGTGGTGCTCCCAGTGGTTCGTGATTGTAATTGCTAAACCAGAGATCGTGGGTTTGATTCCCAATCATGACAAACAATTGTGTGATGAGCAGGATCGTGGATGTAATTTATTTATAAAATGTATGTTTTTTACAAATATGTGTGAGTATGTTTTTCTAAGTTAGTTAGTTTTTTTTTCTAAGAGACAAATCCCGCACTAGGAATAAATCCTGTGTCGCGGGGGACTTTACAAACATACATGAATCTGACACAAAGTACACCCAGACTCAAAACAACAATTTGTGGATCACACAAAGTGTTGTCCCATGTGGGGTTTGAACCCACAACACTCGGCGTAATTGAAAGCGGCGTGGCGACCGCTTAAACCACTACGCCATCCGTGCAGTTTATCAGTAGTCTGTTAGTCATAGTGCAGGTTCTGGATAGTTTGGACAAGAAATGTGAAGTTAATATCATTGTGGCGACTTCCACATACAAAGAAACAGAAACATACTACAGCGCCATCTAACTATGAAACACCGAACTAAGGAGTAACTGCTAATCCTGAATCGCGGCATTAACAACTCTCGCGCCGATTAGCATATGTACAACTTCCCAATATCTACCGTTGGGACGCAATGGCAGTTGGCGTTGGTATTGCAATTATTTAGTGTAGTAAAATACATTATAAATATGAAATACCAGTAAAACAATTCAATTCGTTTTGTAATTCGATTTATTTAAACAACAAAAATATGAGGTGCAATAAACAATATTTTATCGATCAGTTTGAATTTGGCAATTCAATGTAGTATTTAACCACGTATAATGTAGTATCTCATGTCCTGAATTAAGCAAAATCAGAAGAATAGCATATTAATATAGTAAGAGCTACGATAAGCATCTTAGTTGCTACGATCATTCGTAGAGCTGCTACGAAATGTGTAGCAAAGTTATATTTAAGAAACAGTACTCCTAAACTGTGGAATAAAGAAATAGAGACTTTAAAATATCCTTAAAGTATAGTCTTAAGCAAGGTTAAGGAATACGGTGGGCAAAGAATAAGCGACACCTTTTTTTTTTTTTTTCCGTCCGGAAATCCCCTCGGATACCACCTTTCGGTGGCATGTCGGGTACTAATAGCCGGGGAACCAGGTATACCCTAGAAAGGAAGTCCCTGGTGCCCCGACATACCTCGGGTCATCTACAGACGAGTAGACGACCCCCCCCCGTGTGGGAACCCCATGTTCCCTGTGCTCCCTAGAGGCGAGCGCGCTTCGCAACGCGCTCGCCGTCACCCCGGCCTGCTTCTGCTGGGGTGACAGATGGCATCACCTGTCACCCCCAGGCCTGCGCTTATGGAGGACGGAGGTCGTTCTGCGACCTCCGGCGCCTGAGAGAATAAGCGACACCTGGGAGTGTTACGGTTTAAATGATCGTAACTAATAAGTCATATTATCATAAGTTACAGTGGTGGGCGTGTGGGTGGGATTAGTCCCAATTATCATAAGTCATTGCAAGTTCAACTGGTTATTTAAGTCTTTAACAAACGATACGAGACTCCACATTTCTATATGTGCTACTTGTTGACATGGTACCATCTTAATCATTTATGTATAAACTGAGTCTAAAGTAAGTTGATCATAATCGAATTTAAAAAACTGAAAAACACACTAAATATGATTTATATATCTATATATATATATATATATATATAAGAGATTGCCACGTATATAGTCACTCATCACGATATCTCTGGAACCATTAGAGCTAAAGACTTGAAATTTGGTGGGAATATTCTTTTCACAGAGTAGAGGTCAGCTAAGAACGGATTTTACAAAATTAAAAACAAAAAAAAAAAAAATGTAAATAGCAAAACAACGTTTGCAGGGTCAGCTATTATATTTATAAATCATATACTACTATAGTGCTATATCCATATATATCTTGTCGAGATTGCCGGGTTATAGTTATTATTCTTTAATTTCGTAAAACTGTTTTTTTTTGTTTTACTTCTTAGTAGAACTGAAAGGTGACAAGGATTTAGGACGGCTCCTTGTCAAGACCGTTTTCCTCTACAGCTACGGACCCTAAGGCCATTATTATTAATATTATTTTAAAACATTACAGGTCTATTATTTTTTATTATTTTATTATTTTTTTTTACTTCTTAGTAAATGTATATGGACCTGATTTAAAAGTTTTCAGACATAACAATACAAAGGTTGAATTTCGATTTTATTTATTTTCTTTTTTCTTTCAGTGTAAATTAATATCGAAAAGCGGTAACAAAAGTAGTCTATATGCATAGGCGTGTTCCATTTTTATCTTCAGTATAAAAAATAATTATTATTATTGTAAAAAAATGTTAATCTTCTGAACTGCATAAGCTCAAACTCAAACTGATAATAAATATAACAATATATACCTCACACATCTCACACACGGCTATCTGATCTCAAACGATGCATAGCCTGTGCTATGGTAACCAGACTGCTGAAAACCATACTTAAATATTTTTAAATACATACATATTATAGATAAATTACACCCAGACACAGAACAAATAACCGTGCTCATCACACAATATTTGTCCTGGGTGGGAATCGAACCCACTTAGCTTAGCAGTCAGGGTCACTAACTACTAAACCAATATAAAAACTCAAAATATCTTTAATTCATAAAAAATATTTGAAATCGTCTTAGACTCTAAAGTCATAGATCAAAACATACAATAGCTATAATCTGTCAAATATTTAGCAAACGGAAGTTCCATTACATGCCTGTACCGATCTATAACCACCCGTTTCCAAGGGGTTGAACCCCATGAGAAGAAAGGGCAAACAAAGTCACTCAGGCTTAGTTACAGTCATTTGTTTAATTTGCATTACTCTGCCAACAACAATCAAGAAATAAATAAAGACATAATGTATTGTTTAAAAGTTTTAAATAATAGTAATTAATTAACAGTTCTCTTACATCCAAATAAATAATAATAATTTAATTTACTTTTTTTTATTTTTTTGCCAAATTAAACTGATCGTCTTCGAAAACCAATGAAAAAAATTTTATTTTTTTAAAGATCTAGTTCTAAAATAATATTCGGTACATCAACAATTATTAAGGAATTTTACAATTTGATTTCACCGTTAATTATTAAAAAATTGGGATATTTACATACACAAAATATCAAAAATAGAACATATTAATTTTTGACGTTTGAGATAACCGAATACACCAAATTTAATTATTTTTTTCGATTAGATTAAAAAGTATTACCGCTATAGGTAAGTTATTCCATATCAAAGAATAATATACTTAACATTAATCTAAAAAATTTCCATAATTAACAATTTTTCGAAAGTATCCAATACAACAAAACAGTTGACAGTGAATTTAATGAAAAGTGACAATAATATTACAAAAAAAAACATGATCTTTGAAATTACACTTTCATCAACATTTTTAGTATATCTTTGAACAGCCATCATTAATTACACTAAATTATACTTATAATATCCATCTACAAAGTTATTTTTGGCACAGCTGAGACAAAAGGGACTCGATGATTTGATTGGCATTTATATTTGGCAAATATTTCCAAAATCAGTTTTGAAAGATAAAAAGTTTGCATCGCTTACTTTAGTCTTGCATTTAAAAAAATGACAGAAAAAAAAATCGTGCACTTTAAAAATGGACCAATGGAGCTTAATATAGTATAGGCATGTAGGGATTAAAGTTTATTTTGGCACATTTAACATTATCAAAATAAACTTGATTAATAACATAACATATTATATTACACATGGCATGGCGATTAACCAAGAACAAGACCATTACAAAGTAATGTTAAAGTCACGGAGTAGAACAAACAGTTCTAGTAGAAGACAACTTTTTAAATGCCATATATATTATTCAAATACTAAATCATAACCTTTTCAAGCCAAATACATGTTTTCAGTAAGCACTGTTTCTTTTACAGTAACAACTATTAAAACAAGGAGACAAAATTCATTTGTCACATTCTCCTTCGTATACTCATGAAATATTTAAAACTATAGTACGACGCGAAACAAACATTGATTTATGGCAGTATTTTGATATCGATATCAAACAAATCAATAACAGAAGCATTCACAATATTAACATTGAATTCACTAATGTTTTCTATGTAGAACTAAAACAATATTTCCGTCTATGTACACTATCAATCACTGTCGTGTCTTCCATTTACAAAATATACAAAAATGTACCACAGTTCATTTACATGAACTATACAAGTGGTCTACTTGGTCATTAGGTGACTAGATCGCAAATAGCGATGTGATGGAAAATCCTCACCACATAGGTCAAATTTATGATCCGAATCCTAATATTCCTAATAATAATACTATAAAGTGCATGAAGCTTTAAGATACTCCTTGTTACTTAGTACATATGGAAAGAGTATTTATAGATTATCAGACTGCAATAGTTGAGTGCATAAGTTACATGGGAAGTATTTGTAAAGAGCAAAAATATTGCTTGATAATTGAAGTACGAATTTAGCGAAATTCCTCAAGCTTTTTTTTCAGTTTCTCTCGATTTTTTTGTAAGATTGTGATTTGATTTTGTAATTCAAAACCCTGCTGAGAAGTAATATTGTAAAAAAATTAGCCACCAAATATCTTAATATGCTTAAGTTCTAATTTGTCAAGAAAAAATAAACAAGCTTTCAATTGACTTGATACTGGATTATTAGTTTATAGACCAATTTTATTCACACCGTTATAAATTTTAGTATAGATAATTTACTGTCCCTATTGCATGCCTCATATTCATCCATATAGCACCTTTACGTTTCCATAACAATAAAAAAATCCAAGTGACTTAACCTATGTGATTTGTCACAAATAGTTTTAATGACTAGAAAAATCCAAGAAAAAGATTTCAATATATTACAGATTCATACGTCTAATGGGAGACATCGTTAATTATCGGGGTTTCACAGCTAAAAACATTTACAAATAACAATTAATAAGAATTGTTGTTCGGACTATCATCATTTATATCAGAATTTACAATACTACTAGTGTCTATAAGATTCGAATTAATTTCGTCTTTCATCACATTACCATTATCAACTACATCAGATATATTATGATTACTTGACTCACTATAATCATTTATATCTGTTTTATTTGATTCTTCTAGAATATCACTGCCCTCTGATTCTCTCTTTTCTACGATTATTTCAACTCTTGGTTTGAATATATCGTCTTTTTTCTCAGCATCTGGTGGTCGGACTGTCGAAAGGGTGCTGGACAGGAATGACGATTGTAGATTGTAGCCTGGCAGCAACTTTGGTTGCAGTGGCAACATCAGGTCTAGGGAACCGGTGGTTGCAGGTCTTGGTTGCAAGGGTGGGGCAGTCATTAGAGGTGGTTGTAATGATGCTAATGATATCGCTCCAGACTGCATGTTGATAACAGGACTCTCGACTGGAAATAAATCAGGATATGGTGATGATTGTAAAACTTTTAATCATCAAAGTTTACTATAGTCATTTTAGAAATAGTTTTCAGAGTCAACACAATTATTTAACTGTAGAGTTGAATACAAAGTGATCGAGTGAGTTTCAATAGAAACTATAAATGTTGTTCAATATAATTATCAATTATTTGATAATGTCTTAATAGTTAACAAGCAGAAAAAAGAGAGAAGAAGCTTTTTACCTGAACCATTTAAACTTTACTGAACAGATTTAAGCCAAATAAATGAATTTATAATCTACTACAAAGTTATAGATAGTTTTCAAAAGAGATAATGTGGTAGGTGAAAATGATTCATGCAAATATGGGTGTCAAGTAAATGTCTGATGCATTTCGATGGAAGAATTATATAAGGGTAAAAGTGTTCAAGGATAAAAGAGCCTCATAGATTTTGATCGGGATTTACCTATTGGGGCTCGTGCTTGGAGCGGCAGGGTGGTAGTAGTCGGTGGTCGGAGAAGGTTTGTGGTTGGTGCTTGAAGGGCTAGACTGATCATGTTCATGCCGTTTACACCTGAAATGATAAAATTAATAATTAATGAAAATTATAATAGTAACCTCATACCTGTTACACACTGCCGTCTGATCCTAAACTAAGTAAAGCCTGTACTATGGTAACTAGACTGCTGATTGACATACATATTATTGTATGTTTCCAGAGAGATACATATAATTATAATAAATAAATTACACCCAGAAATAGCACCAATAAAAGTGCTCATCACACAATCTTTTTTCATGGGTAGGAATCGAACCTACGAGCTCTGGCTTAGCAGTCAGGTTCAGAAACCTCTGGACCAACAGGTCCGTCAATAATAAAAAAATCGACATTGAAAGTGTTGGGTTTTGTGAGGATCAACGACATTATCAACAGCCTTTAGTAGTCCGCTGCTGGTCATAGGCCTCTCCTTAGAAAAGAGGTTTTGGCCTACTATACCACGCTGGCCAGACGGGTTGGTATTGGGTTTGTGTCAAGTTTTCCTTCTTTTTGCAGTGCTGTTTTACTGCGTAGTTTGCTCCGTTAGTCGGCTCTTACGTGTCGTAATGTCTACGGGATGTATAGGGATGGTACTCCGTATTCTTAATCCGTTTCCACACGTACGAGTAAGTATATAAAATGTTCTTTTATATCTACTATTATTTTATATGTGTGCTGGTCTTGGATAATGTTTTACATTTATTCTTTATTTTTATGTAAAGGTGATGCCCTCTATAGCTACTTTCCCAAACTAGAGCAAGTATTCACTTACCGAATTTATTTTCCTCTGAAAGTTCCTTCAATACAACTGGATGTTTCACAGCGTTAACACGACGATTGGAAGCGCCAGCATCGCGTTTCCTTCTGGGTTGTTCGACGGGTAGAACACGTCGGCGCTTTTTCGGTAGTTTTGAACGTGCCTGGAATAGATGGCGTTAGGTGCGTTAAAATTTAAATTACTTTAAGATATTATGAAATGTTGGAAATCATTGCATTTTCATAATGTTTGTACTTCATATCAATGCAATATTTTTACAACGCTAAATTATAACTGTTTCATTTAATGTATATTCTATTTATTTAGGGAAATTCAATTTCCAGAAGTAGGGCATTATGTTTTCGAATATATATACTCGTATATGTAAGTGTATTTTTTGGCACCTCAAACTACTTGATGACATGCTTGGAGGTGTCGTCAGATGCATTATAATTGTAAAAGTGACCCTGGGTATATAAAAATTTTAAGTGTACATTTTCACGCAGTTGGGCATTTTTTTTCAATAAATAACTTGTTTATGAGAAAATAAAACAATTAGAATGCGCAAATTGAATAAATACATACTTGAGGTATATAATCATGACGACGTTTTATATCTATATAAATAAAAATAAAATATATGTACGCGCATAAATTCTGAGCATCTGCGTCAAATTAGAAAATTCTTTTTTTTCTGTATTCGTGATTTTAAATTTATTCTTAAATTGATTGAATTTTTTTTTAATCTTTCAATATGAAAAGTGAGTAAGTGATTGAGACAGAACTGTGAGAGATCTATACTAATATTGTAAAGAGGTAAAAAGTTTGTGAGTTTGTATGTTCGGGGTAATCTCAGGAACTACGAGTTCGAATTAAAAAATGCTTTTGGTCTTAGACAGCCCTTTAATCGAGAAAGAATATAGGCTATATAACATCATGCTACGACCAATAGGAGTAGCCGAGTATCAATGAAAAATGCAAAATTTATTCCTTTTGAGAGAAGCTGACCAAGTTTTGCGGGTCAGTTACTTTTTAAATAACCCATTAGACCTTTTTTGTCGTCTGTAAACCGTGATGGGCTTTCACCCGGAGCATATTTCTCCGTGGGCTTTCACTTCATCGGATGAAGTGATATGTAATACCCGAACCGACAAAATGTTACCTTCAATTTTTAAAAGGTGGCGCTGGTATAAATAAATCACTTGTATTTAAGAGTTATTAAAAATATTTTATGAGTTTACTCCTTTAGTCTAAGGCTCTTACGGCACCCATGGTATGAATAGGAGTGGTGACACTCTGTATTCTTAATCCGACGACCGAATGGCGTAGTGGTTTGTGTAACGGACTGCTATTCCAAAGGTCGCGGGTTCGATTCCCGCTCAAGTCAAACATTTGTGTGCAGGAACATTTAATGTTTGGTTTGGTCTGGATGTTTCTATGTATAATATGTATGTATTTACAAAAAAAAAGTATATATGTATTTATATCAGTTGTCTAGTACCCATAGTACAAGCTCTGCTTAGTTTGGGACTAGGTGGCGTCGTGTGAATGTGGTACAATATTATTATTATATTAATCCGTCACACGGAAATAATATATATATTGTACTAAAACAAAATTCTTTATCAAAGGTGATTTAAATTTCCTATACCTCTACGATATGTCCGTTGCTTTGTAGAAAATTTTGTATTAGATTCTCGTTTATATTCTGTACAAAGATTATGAAAAAGAATAAGGCTGATATTGAAAATAAATAGGGTTTATCTTTTGTTGTCTTGAGTAGGGTGAAGTGTAAACAATCTCCTTCCAATCCTTCCTCGGGGGATAATACAATTTGAGTTATGAACTGATATGCAAAATCATCAATATGTTTTACATTTTTTTCGTAAGGTTGCAACCATTTCTATTAAGAAAACAATATTATACTCAAGTGGAGAAACAATATATTAAATTTATATGTAAATATATATACATATATACTATGGTGATATATTATGTTAGAAATCTTCTTCATCATCATCATCAGCCTATCGCAGTCCACTGCTGGACATAGACCTCTCCCATTGCACGCCACTTAGATCGATTTTTGGCTTCTTGTTTTGTTTGTCACTTCACCTTCCCTGGCCTGTGGGCGTCCTACACTACGTTTGCCAAGACGCGGTCTCCACTCAAGAACTCGTTTTCCCCAACGGTTGTCGGTTCTGCGGCTAATATGGCCAGCCCACTGCCACTGCCACACCTAAAAACTCCTTTACACCTCCGTGAATCAGACACTAGTGCTAACATAGTTGAGATCCCCCTGTGTATTTGTCGAGACCGTTTTGTATGTTCATGTTTTGCTTGTCTATAGCCCTTTGTCTTACACTAGCCATGCTTTAACTATTGTTCGAAATGCCATAACATTGTACCATGACATACGCAGTGTGAATAAAACACATCATATTTTTTGTTATCTTGTTGTGCACTTAATTATTAGATGACTTCTTAAAGTTCACAACATATTAAATATTTTGCCAGAGATATTTTTATATCATTCTCAAAATTTGAAATAAGGAAAAATAAACTAAGCGTAATTTCAGTTTTATCCACACTTCCAAACTTATATTGAAGTGAAAGTGAGTTTTTTTTTGTTTGTTACGCTTTCACGACTAAACCAATAAACCGATTAAAAAAAACAGGAATGGAAAGCTAAGAATTTCTAAAATCGGTTTGTTTGGGACTAGATGGCTTTGTGTGAATGTGGTAGAATATTAATAATAATAATAATTATTTCTAAATATACAACAAAAATATCTGCTCGAAGAGTTAAACGTATTATCAATTCTTGTTTACACTTCAACCAATTAAGGTAGGCAACAATATCAATTTACTAAATGTTGTATATTCCAAGTTGTAATTCAATTCTATTGTATTAATTTCAATAATAAACAACTTTGTGTAATAATATTCTCGCCTATTTCTGTCTGTAAAACTGGCTTATTTTCTTAAATATATTTTATCGTAAATGCATTATCCATCACTTTGCTTATGAAACCTGTTATTGTTTTAGAAGAATGTTCTAATTAATTGTATATACTTAAAACAATAGATTCCAATTGGATTTAAGAAGATTCTACTTAACTGTTTTGAGATGTAAATTTAGATTAAACTTTGTTCGTGAACTTTGTTTGATGACCGGATGGCGTAGTAGTTTGTGTAACGGACTGCTATTCCAAAGGTTGCGGGTTTAATTCCCGCTCTAGTAAAACATTTGTGTACACATGTAATGTTTGATTTGGTCTAGGTGTTCCTATGTATAATATGCATGTATTTACAAAAAAAGTACAATTAAGTATTTAAATCAGTTGTCTAGTACCCATAGTACAAGCTCTGCTTAGTTTGGGACTAGATGGCGTTGTGTGAATGTGGTAGATTATTATTATTATTACTTATGGAGTTTTGGCGAACGGTGACAGAGAGAATGCAACAAATAGTTGAATGAGAGGTCAAAAATGAATTTATTATTGAAGTAAATACCTTTCCTATCTATGAAGTATTTTATAAGTAACATGTTATGTGATTTCATTTTAATTTTAATTACTCAGAAAGCTGGAGATTCTACTAACAGCCATGGTATATCACAATTCAACTCAAACTCTTTATTTCATAAAAAAATAAAATTGTTTGAAATCGTCTTTTATGTAGACTCTGAAGTCATAGATCAACACACACAATAGCAACAATCTCTGTTTTGTCAAATAGTAAGCAAATAAATTTAATAAAAATTAAACTTATACAAAATCTATGATATGCCTGTGCCGATCTACCACCGCCCGTTTCCAAGTGGTTGAGCCTTATGACAAGAATGGGAAAACAATCTCATGGCAGGGTATCATAATAATAGTTACAGTTTATATACGTGAGTCCATTTCATACAAAATATTAGTTTCATCTTTCATTAGACCGAACAATCAATCGTTTCAAAATAATATTTCTGTATTAAAACTCACAAATCTTTCTAAAATTACTAGTGATTTACGTTTTTAATAAGTTTACTTGTTCAACCCTATTCCTATTTCATTTCCTATACACTCTAAAAATGCAATGTGGGATAGATTGTACACAACAGTGTAGGTTACATATACTCGTAGTGTATACACGTCTTTATAACAATGTAAATACTTATCTTGTAAAAGTATCTAACTTTTAACGTTCAGTTAAAATTGAAATAATACGAATGAAAGAATGAAATTGCCGTTGAATAGTAATAGATACTTTGAATTGACATAAAACCTTAATGGTGTAAGCTTTTCGTGTGAAACTTTTTTCGCATGATACCTATGAGGTTCTTCTTTTAAAAATGTGCAACATTCGATTTTTGACTTTCAATTGTTTATTTTATTTAGCAGGCGTGAAAGATCGAAAATCCTTCCTTCTTCCTTCTTCCTTCGAAAATCCGAGTCATTTTTTAATATGAGTTTGAGTACGAGAACTAACGCGGCAGAAACGTTTTGCAACATCAACACTGCGTTTGGAGAGGAGCCTGCTATAGAACGCACCGTGCGTTTTTGGTTTAAACGAAAGAAAACTTTGACTTGAAAAACGCTCCACGTGGAAGACTGCCACACAGGTGAATAACGCTGAATTAAAGGAGATGGTAGACCCAGGAATTAGCGGCATGGTTTAACGTTATTCTACCTACAATATTGACTATTTATAATGATTTGATGCAAATTCAAATCAATAAAAAAGTGAAAAATTTGTGCCTCATGATTTGATTGATTTGCGGAAAGAAATACATGTTGAAACGTACGTTGCCTTGTTGAACCGGTACAGAAATGAAGGAATATTGGATCGAATTGTGACATGTGTCGAAAAGTGGATTGATTGCGATAACCGTATCCGAAAAATGCAATGGATGCAAAGTGCCCTAAAGCAAAGCTTACCCATGAAAAGGTAATGGTAACTGTTTGGTGGTCTCTTCATGGTGTTATTTACTATAGCTTTCTCAGGTTTGGTCAGGCAGGAAACAGCTCCTGGGCTGGACTGAAAAATGTTATTATTTTCGTATTTTGGACAATTTTCATCCCAAGAGGCAGTACAAAATGCTTTCACTTAGTTTGTCGAATCTAGATCCCCAGAGTTCTATCGTAAAAGCATAAATGAACTTCCGTTTAGATGGCAGCAATGTATTGATAATGAGGGAAAATATTTTGTTTATGAATATGTTACTTACATCTTAGAAAAAAAAACGTTTTAATTTTTTAGTAAATATCAGCAATTTTATACTTTACCCCTAATAATAATAAATAACGATTACTAGCCAATACGGCTTAAATACGGCGTACGACAATGCCGCACCGCCCCCGCCGCTATCGCATCGCCAGGATTAGCTATTTACTGTGTCAAAATATTTTAGTGGCCGACAAAAGAAGAGCAAAACTCGAAATCGTTTCAACACAACTTACGTAACTTACAACTGAGCTTAAAAGCATTGTCACCTTAAGAAAAAATATATTAAAATACGTATAAATATATTGTTATTATCATGTCATGTCCCCATTCTTTTCTTTTTTTTTTGCCGTGCGGAAATCCCCTCGGATACCACCTATAGGTGGCATGTCGGACTCGAACCGACTAAAACCGCACGCCGTCTCGGGTACTAATAGCCGGGGAACCAGGTATACCCTAGAAAGGAAGTTCCTGGTGCCCTGACATACCTCGGGCATGTCATGTCCCCTAGAATGTTATAAAATGTACGGAATTCGTGTATTTTAGCTTAAATTAGCTTAAATTTAAAATTTGCAAATTGTCTAGTTGTAATTTATTTCCGTAGAAAATTACAGTTTTACAGTATTTGCATTACTTCTAAAAGTCCATCTAATACATGAAATGTCAACACTCCAATCAATGATGCAGATTTGCTTTGACGCAAACTTCTGATTAAGTTATAACTGAGTGAAATCCTTCGAAATCACGTGTGGTTCACATATGGTGAATTTCTCTACATACGGGCAATTTATAGATTTTTTACTTTAAGTGGAAAAAGTATAAAAATGGTTACTAGAAATTTGAAATCTAGGTTTAGTAATGGCATTATTGTTTCTAAAAGAATGTATATTTTTCAAGAATCTGTCACCACGCCTAGTCATCCCATGGGTGTCGTCAAAGGTGACTAAGGGAGCAAACTAAGCAGGACAACTGCAAAGAGAAGGAAAACTTGAAACAAACCTTTTTTTTTTTTTTTACGTGTGGTAATCCCCTCGGACCGTCACCCAACCGGGGTTTGCGGCGGGGTGGTGTGTCGGACTCGGACCGACTAAAACCACACGGTGTGCCACTCTGCGCCTGTAATAGGAGGGATCCGGGAACAGCTGTTAAACTTGAAACAAACCCTATAACAACCTGTCTGGTCAGTGTATTATAGTAAGTAGGCCAAAACCTCCTTTCTAAGGAGAGGCCTATATTGATGATGATGATTTGTAAGAGATGAAACATGCGTTTTTCGGCTCTCAGAGATATCAGTTATTTTCGAATATGAGCTGGTCTCTTGGCCTAGTGGTTATTGATAGCGATATTGATTGTTAAGCCAAATGTCATGGGTTCGATTCCTAACCAGCACAAATATTGTGTTATGAGTACAATTATTGGTTGGGACTGGGTGTTATAAATCTTAGTATTTAGAAATATATATACCCGCTCAATGGCAAAGCCATGCAACGACTGCACGGATGGCGTAGTGGTTTAAGCGGTCACCTCGCAGCTTGCTACTACGTTTTGTGTATGTTTGTGTAGTCCCCGCGATTCCTAGTGCGGAAGTTGTCTTTCCTCAAGGTAAAAAATAAATACGTAAATGGTGCTAAATTTAAATTGGAAAATTGTAAGCGTTTAATACGTGCCTGTCTACCACTTCAAATAAAAACACGTCAGTGTTTGTCTGTTTATATATATATCACATCATAAACAGCCTTTAATAGTCCGCTGCTGGACATAGGCTTCTCCTTAGAATGGAGAACACTGGCCAGACGGGTTGGTATGGGATTTGTTTCAAGTTTTCCTTCTCTTATACATATATGTATATAGTGTTTTTAAATATATAAAAATAAAAATAATCATCTATTTCAGACGCATTGATACAGTCCATAGTGTTAGTGTATTAATAACAATTAACTTATATTAAGTTAGGATTATTAGTATCATTACATTAAATGAATTTCATATTATTCCTATGACTGCCTTTACCCAATGTAAATTCAATTTATATACTCATGATAAATGTTATGAGTATCAAATGAGTGGCAAAACATTGAATTAGCAACAAAAAGTTTCCCGTCTGTGTTTACTGAGTGCTAAGGGGGAAGTTTTACAAGGTTGAGGATTAATTTATTTCTAATTGAATGCATTTCCAAGTTGCAGTAAGGCTTGAGTTTAGAGATTTGTATCGACCTGAGAAACCAGTACGCAGGAAGAATAGAGACCTGAAAATTGTATAATAATAATAATATATTTCACACACTCACACACGGCCGTCTGATCCCAAAATAGGCAGAGCCTGTACTATGGTAACCGGAGTGCTGATAAACATAGTTATTTATTTTTAAATAGATACATTTTATAGATAAATTACACCCAGACACAGAACAAATGACCGTACTCATCACACAATATTTGTCCTGGGTGGAAATCGATCACACGACCTCCGGTTTAGCAGTCAGGGTCACTAACCACTAGACCAACAAGCCCGTCTATATTTAAATTCTCTAACTTAAATATATTTTATTTTATTTTTTTGCATTTCTAAATATACCTTTAAATGTAAAGGCCTGGCAACATCCCAGCGACAAGCCAGGCCTGACTGTGTATATATATTTTATTTTAAATTTGGAATGTCAAATCACATTTATAAAATATATATGGGGTCTACCAATAAGAACGTCCTGGTTTAAAAATTGAATAAAACACACAATTTTTTTATGAAAAATGCAGCCGATTGATTTATTTGATAGACAATTTTATGCAATTTATGTTTTAAATAATATATCGGCCGAATGACCGCAGCGGCTCATTTTGCAGACGGATTTTTCACGCCAATTTTCGATGACGCGGTGCACCATTTCGGCCGGTATGTCGGCTATGGCTCGTCGAATGTTGGTTTTTAGGTCACGAATTGTAGCTGGATTATTGCTGTACACTTTAGATTTAACGTAAACGTAACCCCAAAGAAAATAGTCTAAAGGTGTTAAATCACACGATCTTGGTGGCCAACTGATCGGTCCATTTCTCGAAATTAACGACTCACCAAACTTTCCACGCAATACGAGAATTCTATCATTTATCCCCATAAATGCAATTACCTCATTCTTTCTCTGTATCGCCTAATCGTTTGACTGGCAGAGAATGCCTTGGGCATTAAGTCCGCCGATGTATATTTTGTGCATGAAGTCATAAATAAATAAATAAAGTAGAAACCTATCTTCAACATTTTTAATTACTAAATTAGAGTCTGTTCAAGCAACTGTCAAACTTTACTAATCCATTTATCAACAAGTAACGTTACTTCAAAAGGAACGACTTGATTGATGATTCAATGCTATTAGTTTGTTTTTTTTTTTATTCAGTTTCATAAACAAAACATATTTCCTAACGTTTAGATATTAAAAAACTTTCCGAAGTTTTTATCAGAATTATAAATAATAATAATAATATTGTACCACATTCACACAAGGCCATCTAGTCGCAAACTAAGCAGAGCTTGTACTATGGGTACTAGACAACTGATATAAATACATATATACTTTTTTTTTGTAAATACATACTTATTATACATAGAAACACCCAGACCAAATCAAACATTAAATATTCACGCACACAAATGTTTGACTTGAGCGGGAATCGAACCCACAACCTTTGGAATAGCAGTCCGTTACACAAACCACTACTCCATTCGGTCGTCCAACTTGGTTTGGAGGAAGGAAAATGTTGACCAAAAAATTGGTCAACATTTACCTTGAAGGCCTATTTTCATAAGATATGTATTTTGTTCTATTTGACATATCAGTTTCAAAGATAAGATTAAGTAATCACTGTATATTTACGTGTCAATCGTGAATTAGCAAATTTTGCCAGACCAGTTCTAAAACACATGATTTATCCGTGTGGTGACGGATTAAGAATACAGAGTGTCACCACCCCTAAGGGAGCAAACTGCGCAGGACAACAGTACTGCAAAGAGAAAGAAAACTTGAAACAAACCGTATACCAACCCGTCTGGCCAGCGTGATGTAGTAGGCAAAAACCTTCTTTCTAAGGAGAGGCCTATGTCTAGCAGTGGACTGTTAAAGGCTGTTGATGATAAAGATGATGAGTTTTTCTTCTTTTCTATTTGACATATCAGTTTCAAAAATAAGATTGAGTAATCACTGTATATGTATTTACGTGTCAATCGTGAATGGTAAAATTTTGCCAGACCAGCCCTAAGACACATGATTTCAATTCGACTTCTAACTCTTCATCTAACTCTTCAAGCTGCATGATTCGAAATATATGAGCCAAGCTCCACAGGAGTAATACTAAGGTAAAAAAAATCTCAAATATAGCAGCAACCTCAGCATTTGATGAGATAAATTTATTGTTTATATTTAAATTAAATTCATTATCACGGTATTGATTTTTGCCAGTTTCACTGTTCATAATTTGCCAAGTGTCTTTAATCTTAACATTGTTACTTTTAATCTTTGAACTTATAAAACGGAACTAAGCCAATTTAAAAAGTTTCTTAAACAGCTTCGAATATTCTTTAAAATAATCATGAAACTGGTCACTTTTATTATAATTCCTCTCATTCTCGTAGCTCATATAATCTTTTCCTACTTTTGAGTAAGCCATTCACTAAATATGGCGTTTTAACCACTAGGGTTTTTTGTGTATAAATGGTGTTAAATGTTGAAGAAAAAGTTTCAAAAAAGTTAATATAATAAGTGTTAGGTTATTCTCTACATAGAGTACCTACTGAACTACTAATAATCTGAGTACTGAACTAATAAAACATGTTCCTTCTTCCGTGCATCTACAACCAGGTAAGTAGAAAATGACTACAAATTGTAAACCTACCAACAAGAAAAATCATAGAGAACTGGCTTGTTAATCTCGACTATCGGGACACAGAAAATCTTATCCAAACTGTCAGCTGACACCTCCCCCCCTAATCTTCAATCCCCTCAAATCACATGGTAAATCACACAAATTTTACACTACTACAATAAATTATTCACATAGCACAAACGCACAAACACATACACACATTGCCTAGTTATATATTTATATTATTTATTTACCTCCTTCCTAAGGAGAGGCCTATGTCCAGCAGTGGACTAGTGAAGGCTGTTGATGATGATGATGATGATATTTATATTCCTTAAAAACATTAAAATCCGTAAGACTTTTGATCTTATCTTGGAATATATAAGTCACTATATTCTACAAAATATATTGATAT